GCCTAGCAGACTAATACACTAATGGAACAATGTCTGTGGACACTGGCAAGGAAAGAAAAGAGTTGGGCACTTTTATCAACTTTTCTCCAATGCTGTGATGAATACAGTATAAGGTAGTTGAGGTCTGCGCCTGTTGCTCAATCTGCAAGAGCAGTAGTTCATGAAAATTTAAACTGTAGCAGTATTCTGGGTATAGGCATGTATAGTAGTTTTGTATTTGTTTTCCCCCATTAAAACCAGTCTTTTTTATTGCATACAAAGAAAGCCAGCAGAGCAAGAGTTGCCAGTGTTGACGCTTCAGAACATTATACTCCTACTCTTATCACTACACTATGGAATAATCCTATATTAACTCTTGCATGTTTAGTATTTACAAGTATAACCAGACATTCATTATTCTAATATATTCTAATAGACATATTCCAATATATAATTTTACTATATATTCTAATATATTTTAATCTTCACAATAATCCTTTGAGGTAGAGAGGTTTAGTTACTTGCTGCATTCATTTTGATTGCTGCTGTAACAAATTGACATAAACATAGTGGCTGAAAACAACACAATTTATTATCTTCTGGTGATCTGAAGTCTGAAACAGATCTCGCTGGACCAAAATGAAGATATCAACAGGATTGTGTTTCTTCTGAAAGCTCAAGGGGGGAGTTTGTTTCTTGGCTTTTTCCAGGTTCTTGAAGCCACCAGCATCTTCAATGTTACTCTGACTCTGTCTTTCACTTCTGTCCCTCTCTTCCACTTGTCAACGTAAGAAATGTCCAAACCTGTAGAGAATTTTTATAAGTTTATTTGAGCCAACTGATGATAACTGTCAGGAAGCAAAATCTCAACGGATTGAGAAAACGCTCCAGAGAATGGCAGTTTTGCAGCTTGTTTTATACATAAGTATAAAAGGGGGTGATGTAAAGAGGATTACATGAAATTCATTGGTGGTAGATTAGGGAGGCACAAGAAAGCAAAGCAGGGAAATCTCTGAGAGTAAAGAGTAAAATGGAGAGACAAATACTTCTTTTACACTGGTGGGTAAAGGATAGTTAAGAATTAGCATTTATAGCACATAGAGATGGTATTTAGGCAACAAGATAACAATGACGAGTTCTGTGGTCTCATGTTCTAGTGCTGTGGGTATAGCCTGAGGAATCCAAAAATAGGGAATTACTCTGACACTCCACAGGTATGTTATCTTAGATGCAAAAAGACAACAGATAGGCTCACTTAAGGTAAAGACTGACTGTTGTCAAGGAAGCTACAGGCCTAGGATGTGACTAACCCACCATGACTCGCTTTTAGTTACAAATGTTTATGTTAAGACCATCCTATGCAGTTACTTTTGGTCTCTAAGTTTGCCAGGCCTGCCATGTGGGTCTCCCATGAGCTTGTCAAGCCCCTTTTTGGTCCACACATTTTAAAGAGCTTTTGAGATTACATGGGGCCCACCAGGATAATCTAAAATAATCTTCATATTTTCTTTTAAATATTAAGAAAAAAACTTTTTTTAATCCTCACCCAAGGACATTTTTGCAGTTATCTTCAGATACAACAGGAGGGAGAGAGGGAAGAAGGGAGAGAGAGAGAGAGAAACATGGATGTGAGAGAGAGACATGGATTGGTTGCCACTCACACAACCCCAACCAGGGCCAGGGAGGAACTGCAACCAAGGTACCTGCCCTTAGCAGGAACTGAACTCAGGACTCTCTGGTCTGCCCACCAGTGCTCTAATCTTGAGCCAAACTGGCCAGGGCCAAATAAGTTTTTTTTATTATTTTTTTTATTTTTTAGAGAGAGAAACATGGATGTGAGATTGAAACATTGATCCACTGCCTCCCGCAGCCATTACTGGGGTTGGAATTTGCCAGCTGGGCATGTGCCCTAACCCGGAATCCAACCCAATGGGGACCTCTCAGTTCATGGAGCAAGCTCAATCCACTGAGCCACACGGCCGGACAATGTTCATATTTTAAAATTAGCTGGTTGGCAACCTTAATTCTATCTGCAAGCTTAATTCCACTTTGCCCTGTAACTTAACTAGTATATGCTCAAATTCCAGGGAGTGGTATGTGGACATCTCTGGGGGACACTGTTCTGCCCTCCACACTTGCCGAAGGTCACAGCCCTTGAGCTGAGTGCTGTGCCCTGAAATTTATATACGTGGGCTATTCTCTTAAACTGGAGACAAAATTGAAGTTGCTGGGGAACACTTTTCCCTTCATACTACTGGCACTGTTCTAGAGCCACAAGGAACCAGGCTTAAGGCGCCTTCCGTAGTCCCACCTACTCCGAGAACAGACCTCCCACCCGCCCGGCGTCCTCGGCGGCAAGGACCCCACCGGACGGCCCGCCCCGCGGAAGCGCGCCAGGCGCGGCCGAGGAGCAGGTGAGCGGTCTGGTCCCGCAGGCCGCCTGTGGTGGGAGAACTGCGGCGGCGGGTGCCGCGGTCTGGGGCCCGCGAGCGGGGGCGCCCTCGCGGGGTGAGGGGGTGGGAGGCGCCCACGCAGGGTCCGGGGGTGGGGGGGTGGGGGACGCGCTCCAGACGCTGGAGGAGCGGCGCCCCAGCTGCGTCCCCGGCCTGGCCGCGCTCCCGCGTCTCCCACCCTGGGTGTGGCGCAGGTGGGGGGCTGCCGGGGGAGCGGGGTCCCCGGGAGCAAGGGTTTGGTCGCGGGTGAACCGAGTGGCCTCCTCCATGGTGCCGTCAGCCCCGCGCGCTCCTTCTCAGCCTCACCTGTATCTCACCGGAGATCCCACTGCCGGCATTTGCAAATCACTTTACTAGTTTTTGTTTGGCATAGGCACGCAAAGGGACACTTTGTCACGTTCAGAATATATACACGTCTCTTAATGATCGTAGGGGTGTGATATTGAGTAATGAATGGCAAGTGTGGGCAGAGAGGACCAAAGGTGGTTTTCGGCCGAGAACAGTCAGTGGTTGCTGTGTTTATTAGGTGCTGTCCATTACATAGAACAAAGACCCCGAAGAAAAAAGAATAGGAATATGGGAAAACTTGGCATCCCTGTTAAATTGTGTAATAAATACCAGGGATCACTTCCAATAGTGACAAAGAACTTTTTTTCTGTCAGGTCCCTGACTACACAGAAAGACCTAATTGTTCTTGAAAAGTTGTCTTGAAGACAATGCATATTATTGAGTTGTATGGAGAAATCATTTCTTGAGTTTCCTGGTAATTCTAAACAGGAATACAAATGAAGTTTTACATGTGGCTATAGGTTTTGGTTAGTGATATTTGCTTTACCTGCTTTGCTCTCTGTGCCTCATAATTCCTTGTGGTGTGATTTTTAAAAATAAAATAAAACAAGTAAGCTTTCTGAAAATGAAGTAAATTCATCTAGTGTTTTATCTGTAATGAAAAAAAAAATGGATCACTATTCTAAGGTTTCAGTGATAATAATCACTGCCCTTTATTTGGGGGTTCTTAGGTACTAAAGTATTAGGACTTTTCTATTCATTATTTTTTATGTATTAATCAATCCAACTAGCTGCTTTATTCTGTAAGTACAAGAGGGGAGACTGAAGTTCAAAGACTGTTTAATACCTCTGTTTAGTGCCAGGCACCTCCAACTCAACATGCCTCTCCCATCCCTGTGAAATTCCCACGGCCAGAAAAATCAAACAATAACCCCCGGATATTTCTGCTGGATTGCCAGCATAGCTCTATCTATAAGACTCACTACCCTACATTTGTTGAGTTCTGCACTGGGGCGTCTGCAATGGCAGGGATGATAAGAGATTTGCGCAGGATTATAAAATCTGGTGCAGGTGCTCAGTGTCATACTGTTGAAAAAATAAAGGAGTAAGTTGCTGTTGTCCTGTCATGGTGATTAGAGCTACTTTGAATTCTGCCTTTTCGTAATAAATGTAATTCTCAGATGTTTCTGTTTTTGAATATAGTTTGGGAGAGCCCCTGGAGACTGTGGGAGTGGAGCCAGGCTTCGTGGGGTGCCCAGCATGGATGGTTACACAGTCCTGAGAGTGATCGGGGAGGGCTCCTTTGGCAGAGTCCTTTTGGTTCAGCAGGAAAGCAGCAATCGGATGTTCGCCATGAAGGAAATAAGGCTTCCCAAGGTCACTGCTAAAGAAATTAGCGCATATTGAAAGTGTATATGCAATTTGTATAAGAGAACAAGTTCTTGAGATTTAACATGGAATTGCTCCTCAGTGCAAAAGATGTAATGACTCATAGATTTACAAGGTCTTGATGTGGTTCTTAGGATATTGTAATTAACTAAAAGGAAGAAAAATAGTCAAATGTGACGATTGCTATTTATTTCAATGAGAATAATTTGTAATAATTTCTAATTAGGTATACTTAAGGGTGTAGGAGGTGTTTGCTAAAAACAACTCAGATGCAATATTGATGAAAAAGAAACACAAAAATACAAAGAGTAAAGACCTAAAATGCTAACCTTTGGTATCAGGGAACCTATTCTGTGGTTCAGTTTATAGGTTTTATTCCCCTATATGATGAGGAAGGTGATGATTTATCACTATAACTGTGTATCATAGTTGCATATGGAAGAATCCATGCCATGGAGCCTGCTTAATACTGTTTTGATCAATTTTTAAAAAGTGCATTTTAATAAAATCCCAGGCCCTAGCCTGGTAGCTTAATTGGTTAGATCATTGTCCCAATATACAAAGGATGCAGGCTCAATCCCCTGTCGGGGCACATACAAGAATCAACCAGTGAATGCATACATAAGTGGAACAACAAATCAATGCCCCCCCCCCCGCAAAAAAAAAATCAATTAAAAAAAAAAATCCCAAGTGCTATTTTCCCCCCACTGCATTCTTTTTCTTTTTTGTTAATCCTCTATTTTTTCCATTGACTTTTAGAGTCTGTAGAAGGGAGGGGAGAGGAGGAGAAAGAGAGAGAAACATCAGTGTAAGATAGACACATCGATTCGTTACCTCCCACATGGCTGGGACGGAGGCCTGGGATCGAACTTGCAACCCAGATACATAACCTTGACCAGGAATCAAACCCAAGACCCTCCAGTGTGCGGTTTGATGCTCTATTCACTGAGCCACGCTGGCCAGGGCTCCCTCATTCCTTCTTGATCTTGTTTATTGATTCTCAAACTGAGTGGACATCAGAATCACCTGGAGGGGTTGTTAACACACGATTGCTGAGCCTCGCCCCCTAATTTCTGCTTGAGGAGGTCTGGGTGGGCCTGTGAATTTTCATTTTTAACAAGTTACCAGTTGGTGCTATTGTTGCTGATTTGAGAACCTTTGTTTCTTAATTTTAAGGTAAGTCATTCAGTATTTTATCCTCAAAGAGTAAGTTAGGGAATAAACAGTTTTGGAACCTTTTTTTGCACATGGTCTTTGTCCATCTATGCTGTAGTAATACACCAGTATATTCTTTTTAATCTGGGCCAGTGGACAAAGTAATGCAGACAGTTAAAACATGAAATCTCTGTTTTTGCTTTAAGGCTATATACTATTGTTAATGGCATACTGGCTCTCCAAATCAGGTTATGCTTAGGCTGATGTAAAAACTAGTTTACATTCTGCCCAGATGGTGTGGCTTAGTGGTTGAGCATCGACCTATGCACCAAGAGGTCTCTGGTTCAATTCCCAGTCAGGCACATGCCTGAGTTTTGGGCTCGATCCCCTATAGGGGGTGTGCAGGAGGCAGCTGATTGATATTGATGCCTCTCTCTCATCGATGTTTCTTTTTATTTTTAATCCTCACCTGAGAACATTTTTTCCACTTTTTGTTCAGATAGAGTGGGAGGGAGAGCGAGGAAGAGAGAGAGAGAGAGAATCATCGATGTGAAAGGGACACATCAAGTGGTTGCCACCCGTACGACCCAACCAGGGCCGGTGACAAACTGCAACCGAGGTACATGCCCTTAGCAGGAACAGAACCCGGGTCTCTCTGGACCGCAGGCCAATGCTCTAACTGCTGAACCAAACCGGCCAGGGCTCATCGATGTTTCTATATCTCCTCCTTTCCTTTCTCTAAAAAATCAATAAAAATATTTACAAAAAACTAGTTTATATTCTATACTTGTTAGGATATATCAGCTTAAGCATGCAAAATATAGCCATAGTTGAAAAATCACCACTTTTAGTATTTGATAGACTTAAGTTGGGTCAAAGTGCAGTGCTCTGAAACTGTGTCTGGCATTGGAGTATCATATGAACTCTACTGTATCATTGTGAAACTGTCTACTTTCAAATGAAGTATTACATTTACATTTATTTAAAATCTTCTAGTCTTTCTCTGGTACACAGAATTCTAGGAAGGAGGCTGTTTTGTTAGCCAAAATGAAACACCCCAATATTGTTGCCTTTGAAGAATCATTTGAAGGTAAATATGAATTCCCCCAGATACATGCTTTTCTGAATTTGATTTATGGTCACCACGCTTTTGTAAAGAGTTTTACCTTTGTTTAAGCTGAAGGACATCTCTATATTGCGATGGAATATTGTGATGGAGGGGACTTAATGCAAAAGATTAAACATCAGAAAGGGAAGTTGTTTCCTGAAGATAAGGTAAGAGACTAACTTACATAGTTTCACTCAAGATTTAGAAGAACTTGCCTCATAAAATCTGTGTAAGCTAAAATAAAAGCATTGATATCTGTGATTACTTGACACATTAGTTAGAAAGGTCTTGTTTCTGTATCTGTGCTAACTGTTGTCAGGATGTGGCTGCCTGAGATGATCTTAGGAAGTAAACTGGATATATTTATAACATATCAAGGAATAAAACTTCCATGTTTAGAACATTTCAAAATTGTATTAATTGTCATATTTTGTACTGGAGATTTAAATTTTTTATTTTTGTTGTATTTAAACTTTAGAGACAGATGGATTTATTTTGTATTTCTAGATCATGAAAAAAGTGAGCCCACATTTTTGTTTTTTGGGATTACCTATTCTCAAATCTTTTTTCTTCTAAAGTTTGGCATATTTCTTTAGGTCTAGTACTACTACCTTTTTTCATGGAAAATTGCATACTAATATTATTTTAGTGACTCAATTAAGGAAACTAATGGAGTTTAGTTTGTTTTAGGGTATAACATGTTATAAAACTGTATTCATATGAGTATTTTTACTTAAAAGTTGTTTTGTTTATTTTTATTTATTTTTTTAATCCTCACCCGAGGAAATTTTCCATTTTTTGTACAGATAGAGTGGGAGGGAGAGAGAGGAAGGGAGAGAGAGTGAGAAACATCGACGTGAAGGGACACATCGAGTGGCTGCCACCCGCACGACCAACCAAGGCCAGGGACAAACTGCAACCGAAGTACGTGCCCTTAGCGGGAACCGAACCCGGGTCTCTCCGGACCGCAGGCCGATGCTCTAACCGCTGAGCCAAGCTGGCCAGGGCAAAAGTTGTTTTGTTTAAAATATGGCTTCCATAGGAGGTCAACCTTGACTTCAAATGGGTGACTCTCCATAGCATAAAGAAAAAGTTTAGTTTGACATTCAGTTGCAGGCACCTGGAAATTCTGGGTGCTATTAACTGGGATTTGTAAGCTGATTACTGACCTCAAAGGATTGTTGACAATATAATTAAATATTTTAATGTTAATATAAGAATATTCTGAAGAGGGAAATGAAAATCTGATGTAGTGATTGCACTATAAAATTGTAGCATATCTATTTCTAAGTGGTAAACTACCTTTGTATGTGTATTTAAGAAATACTTTTATTTAGTTGAATATAAGAAAAATATAGTGGGAGTTTTATTAAAATAAATTGCTATTTGGATCACACATAATATGATGAAACATGGATTCGCAGCTTTTCTGACTATTTCCAGACAACACTGTATCTTAGTTGAACTATGTCATTTTTAGGAGTTCTCTGTTTACATTATGTAAAACTAAGGCCTAGCGACGATTGTCTGGCATTTTGGGTTAACATGAACCAGTTTTTGCGTTCTTGCAGATTTGCATGCGTTTTTCTTACAGATACTTCATTGGTTTGCACAACTGTGCCTTGGAGTAAATCACATTCACAAGAAACATGTGTTACATAGAGATATCAAATCCAAGGTAAGTGAAATACACTTTTGGGACCAAAAAAACCTACTTCAATTAGTATTTTTCCTGTGTTATTCTATTTCCTTTTGGGACATTTTTATTTAGTAGTATATGTTAATATTTTTCAGGCTCTCTCAGTGACTGCTTACTAAGACCATGTATTCTCAGATGGAAAATGACTGAGTGCTGGGCCTGCCACATGGAGTTATACCAACAGGTTCCCAGTTAGTCGATCAGGGTCTGCTGATACAATCTGGAGCTTGGTTGTTAGGTTTCTAAGCAGTCATCCTGAATTCCCAAGCTGGGGGATGTATAGCTGTCAAGAGTCTATCTTGTTTTTTGTGTTTCATTTGGGGACTTGGCTATCAGCATTTCAAGTATTTCTGCCCTTAATCTCTATCATCAGCAGGCTTTGAGAGCCAGCTTCTCTGGAGACCTCTGCCTTATGTTTGAATGATGGAAGACAAAATCTGAGCTCTTCTTTTTTGTTTAATGTAGAATATCTTCCTCACCCAAAATGGAAAAGTAAAACTGGGAGATTTTGGATCTGCCCGTCTTCTCTCCAAGTATGTATATCTGTGCTGTAGTAGTAAGAGTGAGTGATCCAAACATCTGTTATTCGGGAATGCTCTGTACTCATTCTTTGCCTTTCTGTGGTTTTAGTCCCATGGCGTTTGCTTGTACTTATGTGGGAACACCTTACTATGTGCCCCCGGAAATTTGGGAAAATATGCCTTATAACAATAAAAGGTAGGTGATGTACTTACTCGGTGCAAGGGTGACTGTTTGGTGACAGGCATTGTAGCCTACAAATGAAGTTTGATTTTTTAAAAATATATACCTGAAACAAATCTGAGTTCCTAGGCTTCTAGATAAAATCATAGTTTTCTAACTGCTGTAATCAGTGTTAAGAGGAACTAAATGTAAATGCTGAAAGAAAGGCTGGTCATCTCTAGGGACAGTGTGAATTATACCACTGGCTCTCAAACTTTGCTGTTCCCATTTTTAAAAATTGCAAAGTACAGGTTACAGTCATCCCAGTTAAATGAGACTGTCTGGGATGAGAAGCAGTTCTCAGTAGTTTCCAGGATCACCAAGTGATTCCATGTGTAGCAAAATTTAGGAACCACTGGATTATGTCATTGAGTTAACATTTATAGGACTAGATAATAAGCACTTGACTAATAGGTTAATAGATTACAAGAAGATAGTATGAAGACCTTATGATTTGAAACTTAAACCTTTTGCTGAATGTAATGTGCCTGTTGAATGAGTGGGTGGGAAGGGGAGCATTGGAAATACGGAGATGTACAAGAAAGGAAATGGCAATCACCCACTTTTTCACAGCTGTTAATAACATTTTTGGAGTCTTTTTTTCTTGAAAGAATAGTTTATTGATTTGTAGAGAGTGAGGAAGGGAGAGAAACATCCGTATGAGAGCACATTAATCGGCTGCCTCCTCCATGCTCCCTACTGGGCATCGAGCCTTCAACCCAGGCATGTGCCCTCACCAGGAATCCAACCAACAACCTTTCAGTGCAGGGCATGATGACCAACCCACTGAGCCACACCAGCCAGGGCATTGTTTGCCATTTTCAGTGTTATAAAGAATGTTGTGAATGCTCTGGCTGGTGTTGCTCAGTGGTTAGAGCGTCGATCTGCGTTCCAGAGAGACCCGGGTTTGGTTCCTGTGAAGGGAGCGTACATCGGGTACATCGGTTGCAGTTTTTCCCCGGCCCTGGTTGATTGTGCGGGTGGCAACCACTCGATGTGTCCCTTTCACGTCGATGTTTCTCTCCCTCTCTCTCTCTCTCTCTCTCTCTCTCTCTCTCTCTCTCTTTCTTCCTCTCTTCCTCACTCTCCCTCCCACTCTATCTGAACAAAAAATGGAAAAAAATGTCCTCGGGTGAGGATAAAAAAAAAAGAATGTTGTGATTAATGTACCTTTTGTGTATAAATCTGTTGTTCTGTATACATTCGTGGCATGAATTCCTAGAAGCAGAAACACTAAAAGGCTTTTGTTACCTTCTGTCAAGTTGCTTTCTGAAGAGGGTATGATCATCCATACTAAATAGGTTCCTTAAGAGTAAAGTTGACTGAACTGGTGACAAAACAGCTATAAAGGGACTTACCGGGACAATTGGGAAGATTTCAGTTTCACAGAAATATTAGAGTATATTATTGGACTCAGGTTAAACTCCTTGGATGTGATAATGGCATTGTGTCTATGAGGGAGAGTGTCCTTGCTCTTAGGAGATACATGCCCATGTGTTTGGGGTGTAGTGATGTCTGCAGCTGTTCCCCAAGAGCTTGTACTAGAGATGGAGGAGGGAACCAGCATGCAAACCTGGCAGATGTTAATGACTGGGGGAAACAAGGAAGGAGTATATGGGCATTTGTAACTTTTCTTTAGGTTTCAAACTTTAAAAAATTTAAATTTGGGGGAAACAGTTGCTAAAAACCATTAGTTAAAATAAAAAGAGTATCTTCTATAAACATCTGGAAGATAAGAATGATGAAGAAGAGTGAATGTTTAGGGCAAATTATAGAACTCTCTTCTGCTGAAGAGTCTTGTTCTCTTCCCAAGGAGACATGTTTTGGTTTATGATAAGGAAGAACACTGTCCCTTAGAGCCATTCAGCAGGGCACAAACTGTGCCCAAGGTAGATTGATGGCCAGCAGGAGGTGTGATCAAAGGCCTGATGTGCTTGGATGATCTGGGTTTAAGCTCACGGGATGACATCTGAAGTCCTCCTTTTACCTGTAATCACTGGAGTCCACAAAGGTCCCGTCTTTCACCGAATACTGCTGAAATGGTACCTGAGCCACCCTGAGTTGGAGAGGCAGAGCTTGGGGAGCAGAGAATTTGTGAGCATTACTGTTAGTAACTACCCACATATTAAAACTTACCATATATATTTTACTTTTTTTTTTTAAGCTGGGTTGTTATTTTTATTGTTCAATTTTTTTTGTTTATTTGCTTCTTTTTTGTTTTTATCTTCACCTGAGGACATTTTTCCATTTTTTGTTCAGATAGAGTGGGAGGGAGAGAGAGAGAAACATTGACGTGAAAGGGACACATTGAGTGGCTGCCACCTGCACGACCCAGCCAGAGCTGGGGACAAACCGCAACCAAGGTACGTGTCCTTAGTGGGAACCAAACCCGGGTCTCTCTGGACCGCAGGCCAACGTTCTAACCGCTGAGCCAGACTGACCAGTGCCATATATTTTACTTTTGATAGCTAGGAATTACTTGCAATATCTGTTTTTATTAATGGTAATTTTTTATTTTTTAATATTGGAAAGTATATATTTTTTTCATATGCTCACTTATAACCCACATTACTTCTTTGTTTCCAGTGACATCTGGTCCTTGGGATGCATTCTGTATGAACTCTGTACCCTGAAGCATCCAGTAAGTGTGGTGGGCAAAATGGAAAGGCAGCCCCTTGTTATATCTGGCCAAGTGATAAGTCAGGTACCAAAGTCCAGTAGGCAGTTTGCTTCCCTAGAATGAATTCATTATAAAAGTTTCATGTTTCTATTGCTGTCATCTTTGCCTTGAGTTGCTTTTGTAGCATATACTAATAGGAAATTTCCATTATTTAGTTTTTTTATTTTGATATCTAGCTTCCCTCCCTCCCTCCCTTCCTTGCCCTCTCCCTTCTTTCCTGCTTTCTCCCTCCCCCTCTTCCTTTTGCTATTCTTAGTTTTATTTAGGCAAAATATATGTAACCTAAAATTTACCATTTTAACCATCTTAAAAAATGTTTTATTGATTTTTTTTTAGAGAGAGAGAGATAGAAACATCGATTGATTACCTCCTGCACACCCCACCCACTAGGGATTGAGCCCACAACCCGGGCATGTGCCCTGACTGGGAATCGAACCAGGACCTCTCAGTCCATGGGATGACACTCAGTCCAGTGAGCCACACTGAGCCACACTGGCCAGGCTCATTTTAACCTTTTTTCTTTTTTTTAAATCCTCATTTGAGGATATTTTTTCAGTTATCTTCAGATAGAGTGGGAGGGAGGAGTAGAGAGAGAGAGAGAGAGAGAAATATGGATTCGAGAGAGACACATTGGTTGCCTTCTGCATGACCCCGATCAATACTGGGGACGAACCACAACCGAGGTATGTGCCCGTGACAGGAATTCAACCCGTGACTCTTTGGTCTGTGGACCAACACTAACCGTTGAGCCAAACCAGTCAGGGCATCATTTTAACCATTTTTTAATGTATGATTCAGTGGCATTAATTAGTTCATACTGTTGTACAGCCATCACTACTATCTATTTGCAAAACTTTTCCATCATCCCAAACAGGAACTCTGTACCCATTAAATAATAGCTTCTCATTGCCCTCTCACCCAAGCCTTGTAATCCACTTTCTGTTTCTATGAATTTGCATAGTTTAGATATTTCATATAAGTGGAATTATGCAATATTGTTTTCTTTTGTATATGGCTTACTTCACATTGCATAAGATTTTAAAGGTTCATCATGTGGTAGCATGTGTCAGAACTTCATTCCTTTTTATGACTAGATAATATTCTATTGTATGTTTATACTGTATTTTGTTTATCCATTCATCTATTGATGGACATTTGGGTTCTTTCCACCTTCTGGCCATTGTTAATAATGCTGCTATGAACATGAGTATACAAGTATCTATTAAAATCCCTGTTTCTAAGTGCTTTGGGTATATACCTAAGAGTGGAATTGCTGGGTTATATGGTAATTGTAAATTTAGCTTTTTAAGGAACCACCAAACTGTTTTCCAGTGGCAGTACCATTTTTTTTTTTTAATACCTCACCTGAGGATATTTTTCTACTTATTTTTAGATAGAATGGGAGGGAGGGAGGGAGACAGAGACAGAAGGAAACATCCATGTGAGAGAGACACATCGATTGGTTGCCCCCTGCATGAGCCCCGACCAAGGCTGGGGATGAACCAGGGATGAACCTGCAACTGAGGTACATGCCCTTGACTGGGAATCGAACCCAAGACTTTTCAGTCCAAGGGCTACGCTCTAATTGCGGAGCCAAACTGACCAAGGCTAGATTTCACTTATTATGTGAGTTTCTTCTCTAACTGAATTATTATGAGAAAATAAACTTTGCCCTATTATATTATATATTTTTCAAGATTTTTTTTTTCTTTATTGCTTTTAGAGAGAGAAGAAGGGAGAGGGAGAGAAAGATAGAAACATTGATGAGAGAGAACATCGATTGGCTGCCTCCCACAAGCCTCCACCGAGGACTGGGCCCCCAACCCGGGCATGTGCCCTGACCGGGAATCGAACCAGCCACCTCCTGGTGCATGGGTTGATTCTTACCACTGAGCCATTTTATTTCTAATAAAATAAAAGAAATAATTTTAAGAAATAATTCAACAAAAAAGAGGTTAAATAACATGCGCTGCTTGCTCAGCAGTTGTTTATTACACAAGTTGTTTATTAGGTCTTAGCTTTGCATAGAAATAAGTTATGTTCTTTGGGCACAGATTAAAAGCATTTTAATCTAGCAAGCATTTTCACAGATGTGCTTGAGAGCATGTAGCAGGGGTGGGGAACGTCAAGCCTGCAGGCCGTTTAAGGCTGGCAAAATCAATACCAGCTAACATCACACGCCTCACTAGATTAGCCTGACAAAATATAGCAGGCTACTTTTTAGGTTGATAATTTGGTATGGCCCAAGAATGATGTTATAAATATCCAAATGGCCCTTGGCAGAAGAAAGGTTCCCCACCCCTGATTCATACAGCTTGAGAGTGAATATTTGAGAAAAATCCTTCACCACCACTAGATGAAAGTAACTCAAGCTGAAGGCATGCACTGTTAATGAGAAGTTGTCTTCCTTGAATATAAGTGGCTTGTAATGCCAGCTGCATAATTAGAACAACTTGGGAAACTTTAAAAAATACTAATTTTTTAAAGGCCACACCAGACTAATTGAATTAAAATCTCTGAGGGTATCCTGGACAGTAGTACTTTTATTTTTAATTGAATTTATTGAGGTGACATTGGTTAATACAATTATACAGGTTTCAGGGGTACAATTCTATAATACATTATCTGTATATTGTATGTTCATCACCCTAAGTCAAATCTTCTATCACTATTTATCTCCCTTGTACCCTCTCCTACCTCTCCCTGCCCCCCTTTCCCTCTGGTAGTCACCATGCTGTTTTCTATGAGGCTTTTGTTTGTTTTTTGTGTAATCCCATCACCTTTTTACCCAACCCCGCTACCTTCCTCTCCCTTCTGACAGCTGTCAGTCTGTTCTCTGTATCTATGAGTCGGTTTGTATTTTGTTTGTTAGTTTATTTTGTTCATTAGATTCCACATATTAGTGAGATCACATGCTACTTGTCTTTCTCTGATTGGCTTATTTCACTTGGCATAATGTTCTCCAGGTCCATCCATTCTGTCACAAAGGGTAAGATTTCCTTTGTTTTTATGGCTGAGTAGTATTCCATTGTGTATATGTACCACAGTTTTTTTATCCACTCATCTACTGGTGGGCACTTGGGCTGCTTCCAAATCTTGGCTATTGTAAATAGTGCTGTTATGAACGTAGGAGTTCATAGATATTAGTATTTTTTAAAAGGTGATTCTAATGTGTGGCCCAAGTGGAGAACCACTGTTGTACACAAATAAAATTACTTTTTAAATTTTTTAAATTTCATTATCTTATTTGTGACTATGTTCTTTATTTCTCTGATTATGACTTTTTTGTAAACTTTCATATATATGTTATTTTTTCTAGCAAGATAAGTATTAAGGAATATAGTGCCCTGAATATTTGGTGTATAGTTTGTTCTCTCATCTGCTTTAAGGCAAAAGTAGTTCTCAAGCCTTTAGAAAATGCAGTAAAACTTGGTACAGTAGTTAAAATGCCTAAGGGAAAGCAGATTCGATTTTATTTTTCATTACCTGAACTTTTTCTTTGTAATATGTTGATTTTTCCTTTTTTATATCTGCATTTGTATATTTTACTAACAGGGTAATGCACTTCCAAGGCAGAATGCCAATATGTTCTTACATAAGTATTATCAAGGCTGAGTCTTATGTTTATTTTTTATTTATTTTTATTTTTTAGAGAGAGAGGAAAGGAGAGAGAGATTGAAACATCAGTGTGAGAGAGAAACATCCCCTTCTGGGGATCGAGCCTGAAACCTGGGTATGTGCCCTGACTGGGAATTGAACCAGGATGCCTCAGTCCACTGAGCCACACTGGCCACAAAACTGAATCTTATGTTAATTCTAATATATCTGTTATACAATGAATACTTTTTAAATGTTATTCTATAACTGTGAGGAAGAGGGAGGGAGAGGTGCAGAGTGAGGGCGGATCTACCACCTGTCCTCAAAGAAAAATATAAAAAATAAAATAAAATATTATTCTTGTATGACATTTTATATTCTAGTCCATTGTCAGTTTGTTTGTTTGTTAAGCCTCACCCAAAGATACATTGTTATTCATCTTAGAGAGACAGGAAGGGGGAGAGAGAGAGAGACAGAGATATCACTGTGAGAGAAAAACGTTGATCAGTTGTTTCCTGTATGATCCGGCCCTGACTGGGACTTGAACCCACAACCTTTTGGTGTATGGAACGACACACCAACCAACTGAGCCACCTGGCCTAGGCATATTGTCAAATTTTAAAACCTACTTTGATGACATGAAAGGTGAAAGGGATTTTGCAATAGATGTTTAAAATTGGAAAAGTCGCCCTGGCTGGTTTGGCTCAGCGGTTAGAGCGTCAGCCTTGGGACCAAAGCGTCACAGGTTCAATTCTGGTCAAGGACATGTACCACAGTTGCAGTTCAGTCCCTGGCCCTGGGGGGGTTGAACAGGATGTGACCAGTCAATATGTCTTTTTCCCATCAGTGTTTTTCTCTCTCTTTCTCCCTCCAACTTTATCTGAAGATAAATGGAAAAATATCCTCAGGTGAGGATTAAAAATAAGAAAAAAAACTGGAAAAGTCTAAAGTGCATTTTGCCAGAAAGCACGCTTAGGGATTTCTGAGGAGGAGTGAAGAAAGCAAATACTACACTTACGTAAACCCTTAGTGTGATTTGACTTTTTAAAAAGTATGTATTGCTTTGATTTTTTTTTAAACATTTTTAACTTTATTTTTTTCCTTTATTGATTTTTAGAGAGAGAGGGCAAGGGAGAGGAAGAGAGATAGAAACATGGATGAGAGAGAACATCAATTGGCCGCCTCCTGCATGCCTCCTACTGGGAATCTGACCTACAACCTGGGCATGTGCCCTGACCGGGAATGCAACCTGTGACCTCTTGGTGCATGGGTCGACGCTCAACCACTGAGCCACACTGGCTGGGCTTGCTTTGATTTTTAAATCTGTTAAAATGTATATCTGCAAAAACTTTTATTATAAGTAATAAAGTACTCATAGCATAGATGGTGATTTCTCTAGATGGGGAAGTTTTTTACTATTTACTATTTAAGTTTTTTACTTTCTCCTGAACCACCATAAGATTTTGAATAGTGTCTTAAGAATACCTCTAGGAAGAAAAATGACCAAGCAGCAAATAACATTTATAAAATTAAAATAATTCTTGTAAATTCAGTTTAGCTGGTATATTCTTATTTCCATTCTCCTTCCTTCCTTCTGCTTTTACAGTTTAATTTTACTTTTTAGTTTCAGGCAAATAGTTGGAAAAGTCTTATCCTCAAAATATGTCATGGGTCCTTGAGCCCGCTGCCATCTCATTATTCCTACGAGCTTCAGCATCTAATCAAGCAGATGTTTAAAAGGAATCCCTCCCATCGCCCCTCAACTACCACCCTTCTCTCTAGAGGCACTTTAGCTCGGCTTATCCAGAAGTGCTTAACCCCAGAGGTATGGAGTTTTGGATTGACTGTGGACAGTTTTCAAGTGTTTATTATCTTTTAAATACAATTACATGTTATGCATGCTTGAAAAAATTCAAATGTAAAATTATATAAAAAACATTAAAAGTTAAAACTTCCTTTCCCTCTCTTCTCCCTTCTACAATGCTATTTCCGTAGTGTAATTACAGGTGTAATTTTTTTTTTTTTATGTGCATAGTGTGGTAAAATTTCTTTCTTTCTTTCTTTCTTTTTTTTACTTTTTAATTTATTTTTTTGTTACAGATATTTTACCTTTTTTACCCCATTGGCACCCCCCTGCCCTCCCCACCCCCGCCCCGTCCCCGGCTTAGTTATCCATGTCCATTGGTCATACATACATGCATATAAGTTCTGTGGTTTATCTCTTCCCACCCCCCCCACCCCCTCTTCTGAGGGATGTCAGTCTGTGCCCTACTTCCATGTTTCTGGGTCTACTGTATTCCTCAGACTGTTATGTTCATTATATTCCGTATATAAGTGAGATCATGTGGTATTTGTCTTTTTCTGCTTGACTTATTTCACTTAGGATAATACTTTCCAGGTCCCTCCATGTCGTCTCAAAGGATAAGAGATCTTTCTTTCTTACCGCTGCATAGTACTCCATTGTGTATATGTACCACTGCTTTTTTATCCATTCATCTACTGATGGACATTTGGGCTGTTTCCAGATCTTAGCTATTATAAATAGTGCTGCTATGAACATGGGGGTACATATATTCTTCCTGATTGGTGTTTCAGGCTTCTTAGGGTATATTCCTAGAAGTGGGATCACTGGGTCAAATGGAAGTTCAATTTTTAATTTTTTGAGGTAACACCATATTGCTTTCCACAGCGGCTGCACCAGTCTGCATTCCCACCAGCAGTGTATTAGAGTCCCCTTTTCTCCACACCCTCGCCAACACATGTTGTTTGATGATTTGTTGATGGCGGCCATTCTGACAGGTGTGAGGTGATACCTCATTGTTGTTTTAATTTGCATCTCTCTGATGATTAGTGATGTCGAGCATTTCTTCATATGTCTCTTGGCCATTTGTATGTCCTGTTTGGAGAGGTGTCTATTCAGCTCCTCTGCCCATATTTTAATTGGGTTCTTTGTCTTCCTTTTGTGGAGTTGTATGAGCACTCTATATATATTGGAAATTAACCCCTTATCTGATACATCATTGGCAATGATGTTCTCCCATACAGTGGGTTGCCTTTCCATTTTGATGATTGTTTCTTTTGCTGTGCAGAAGCTTTTGAGTTTGATGTAGTCCCATGTGTTCATTTTCTCCTTTGTTTCTATTGCCTTAGGTGATGTATCAGTGAAAATTCTGCTCCGTATGATGTCCGAAATTTTGTTGCCTACATTTTCTTCTAGAATTTTTATGGATTCACAGGTCACATTTAAGTCTTTTATCCATTTTGAGTTTATTTTTGTGTATGGTGTAAGTTGATGGTTTAGTTTCATTTTTTTGCATGTAGCTGTCCAATTTTCCCAAATCCATTTATTAAAGTGGCTGCCTTTACTCTGCTGTATGCTCTTGCCACCTTTGTCAAATATTAATTGAGCGTATTGCTTTGGGTCCATTTCTGGGTTTTCAGTTCTGTTCCACTGGTCTATATGCCTGTTCTTGTGCCAGTACCAGGCTGTTTTGGTTACAGTCGCTTTGTAGTATAACCTGATATCTGGTATTGTGATCCCACCTACTTTGTTCTTCTTTTTCAAGATTGCTGTGGCTATTCGGGATCTTTTTGGTTCCATATGAACTTTTGAAGTATTTGTTCTAGTTCTATGAAATATGTCGTTGGTATTTTGATGGGGATTGCATTGAATCTATAGATTGCTTTGGGTAGTATGGACATTTTAATGATGTTAATTATTCCAATCCATGAACCGGGTATGTGCTTCCACTTTCTTATATCTTCCTCTATTTCTTTTTTCAATGACCTGTAGTTTTCTGCAAATAGGTCCTTTACTTCTTTGGTTAAGTTTATTCCTAGGTATCTTAATTTTTTTGGTGCGATGGTAAATGGGATTGTTTTTTCAGTTTCTCTTTCTGTGAGTTCATCATTGGTGTACAAGAATGCCGTCGATTTCTTGACCTTAATTTTGTATCCTGCTACTTTGCCAAATTTATGTATTAAGTCTAGTAGATTTTTGATGGGGTCTTTAGGGTTTTCTATGTATAATATCATGTCATCTGCAAATAATGACAGTTTTACTTCCTCCTTTCCAATTTGGATCCCTGTTATTTTTTCTTCATATCTGATTGCTGTGGCTAAGACTTCCAGTACAATGTTAAATAAGAGTGGCGAAAATGGACATCCCTGTCTTGTTCCTGTTCTTAATGGAAATGTTTTTAGTTTCTGTCCATTGAGTTTGATGTTGGCTGTAGGTCTTTCATATATGTCCTTTATTATGTCGAGATATGATCCCTCTTTTCCCACATTGCTGAGCATTTTTATCAGAAATGGATGCTGGATTTTGTCGAATGCTTTGCAGCATCTATTGATATGATCATGTGGTTTTTATTCTTCATTTTGTTTATGTGGTGTATCACATTTATTGATTTGCGAATATTGTACCAGCCTTGCATCCCTGGAATGAATCCCACTTGGTCATGGTGAATACTTTTTTTGATGTATTTCTGGATCCGATTTGCTAATATTTTGTTCAGGATTTTGGCATCTATGTTCATCAGGGATATTGGCCTGTAGTTTTCTTTCTTTGTAGTGTCTTTTTCTGGTTTTGAAATTAGAATTATGCTGGCCTCATAGAACGTGTTTGGAAGTCTTCCTTCTTCTTGAATTTTTTGAAATAGTTTGTGGAGAATCGGTGTTAGTTCTTTTTTGAATGTTCGGTAAAACTCCCCTGTGAAGCCTTCCAGGCCTGGGCTTTTGTTTGCTGGGAGAGTCTTGATTACCTCTTCAATTTCCTTAGTTGTTATTGGTCTGTTCAAGTTTTCTATCTCTTCCGGGTCCAGTTTTGGGAGTCGTGTGTTTCTAGAAATTTGTCCATTTCACTTAGATTTTTGAATTTGTTGCCATATAGTTGTTCATAGTAATTGTTAACGATCTTTTGTATTTCCGTGGTGTCAGTTGTTACTTCTCCTCTTTCATTTCTGATTTTGTGTATTTGGGTTCTCTCTCTTTGTTTCTTGGTGAGTCTAGCTAAGGGTCCATCAATCTTGTTTATCTTTTTGAAAAACCAGCTCTTTGTTTAATTGATCCTTTGAATTGTTTTTTTGGTGTCTATGTCATTTATTTCTGCTCTGATCTTTACTATTTCCTTCCTTCTACTTGCTCTGGGGTTTTCTTTTTGTTTGCTTTCTAATTCTTTAAGTTGTGAGGTTAGACAGTCAATTAGAAATTTTTCTTGTTTTTTGAGGTAGGCCTGTAGTGCTATGAACTTCCCTCTCAGAAATGCTTTCGCTGCATCCCATAGATTTTGTGTTGTTGTGTGTTCATTTTCATTGGTTTCCAAAAAGTTTTTAATTTCTTCTTTGATCTCCTCGGTGACCCATTCATTGTTTAATAACATGCTATTTAGCCTCCATGTGTTGAAATGTCTTTGCATGTTCTTGTTGCAATTGATTTCTAGTTTCATGCCATTGTGATCTGAGAAGATACTTGATATGATTTCAATCTTTTTGAACTTGTAGAGATTTAGTTTGTGTCCTATCATGTGGTCTATCTTTGAGAATGTCCCATGTGCACTTGAGAAGAATGTGTATTCTGTAGTTTTGGGGTGTAATTCTCTGTAGATATCTATTAAATCCATTTGGTCTAGTGCTTCATTTAGAGTCTCTGTTTCCTTGCTAATTTTTTGCCTAGAGGATCTATCCAGTGCTGTCAGCGGGGTGTTGAAGTCCCCTGCTATGATTGTATTGTTGTCGATTTCTCCTTGGAAGTCCTCCAGAAGATTTTTAATATATTTTGGTGCTCCTATATTGGGTGCATATATGTTTATCAGGGTTATATCTTCTGTTAGATAGATCCTTTCAATATTATGTAGTGGCCTTCTTTGTCTCTAGTTATGGTCTTCATTTTGAAATCTATTTTATCAGATATGAGAATTGCTACCCCTGCTTTTTTTTGCTTTCCATTTGCTTGGAAAATTTTTTCCATCCCTTCACTTTCAACCTATGTGAGTCTTTTGTTGTGAGTTGGGTCTCTTGTAAACAACATATAGATGAGTCATACTTTCTTATCCAATCAGCTACTCTGTGTCTTTTTATGGGAGCATTCAATCCATTTACATTTAAGGTGATTATTGATATGTACTTATTTATTGCCATTTTTGTTTAGTGTGGTTCTATTTTTTTGCCCATTTCTACTGCTAATTATAGCAGTCCGTTTAACATTTCTTGCAGTGCTGGTTTGGTGCTAATGTATTCCCTTAGCCTTCTTTTGTCTGGGAAGCTCTTTATTTGACCTTCTATTTTGAATGATAGCCTTGCTGGGTAGAGTAGTCTTGGATGCAGCTTCTTGTTTTTCATGACTTTGATTACTTCATGCCATTCCCTTCTGGCCTGTAGTGTTTCTTGTGAGAAGTCAGCTGAGAGCCTTATGGGGTTTCCTTTGTAGGTAACCTGTTGCTTATCTTTTGCTGCTTTTAGGATTCTCTCTTTGTCTTTAATTTGTGGCATTTTAATTGCTATGTGTCTTGGTGTTGGCCTGTTTGGGTTCTTCTTATTTGGGACTCTCTGTGCTTCTTGAACTTGAATGCCTTCTTCCTTCACCAAATTAGGGAAGTTTTCTGTCACTATTTTTTTTAATATATTCTCTATCCCTTGCCCGTTTTCTTCCTCTTCGGGGACTCCTATGATGCGAATATTATTACATTTCCAGTTGCCCCACAGTTCTCTTAAGCTGTCTTCCTGGTTTTTAATAGTTTTTTCCTTTTGTTTTTCTGATTGGTTGATTTTTTCTACCCTGTCTTCTAATTCAATGATCCGGTCCTCAGCTTCCTCTACTCTGCTTTTTAAACCTTCCAATGTGTTTTTTATTTCTGATATGTCATTTTTTATCTCTTCTTGATGGTTTTTAATTTACAGTTGGCTTATTTTCAGTGTCTCTATGTCCTTACTCATGCTGTTCAGCTTCCTCAAGATCATGGCTCTGAATTCTAGCTCTGTTAACATGCCTAATTGCTCCACATTGATCTCATCTTCAGTGGAGGTGTCTTGCTCTTTCATTTGGCTTCTGTTTCTGTGTTTCACCATTTTGGCTATCACTGTGGGCTTTGGAGCCTGTCAAGTTCTCCCTGTGGGTGTTGGTGTTCTGCTGTTTGTGGCTCCCTCTCCTGTGTTTAGATGAGCGAGGGAGGACCCACGTTAAACACCACTGTCAAGTCTTACTTTCCTGGTTAAAGTTGCCAGCCCAGGAAAGGTACTGTTATCCTCTAGCTTTTTGCCTGGCGGCTAGCAGTCGAGGTTACTTGATGAGTTTTGGGTTGTCAGTTGATTGAAATACTCCCTCAGGTGCTCAGCACAAGGGGCTTTCACGAGGGTGGGGCAGATGCTGGTTGTTAGTGAGCCTCAATTAGCACTTCAATGGCCCACAGGGTGGGGTTGGATCCCTGAGGGAGGGGCTGCTGCCTCTCCCCAGAGCCCTGGGAAGGAGCAATGTGGCCACCGTCCTGCGTGGCTGCACTCAGCAAAAGCTCTGGGTGCCCTCCAAATCCCAAGTGTCCCCACACAGTTCCAGTCCAGTCTGCCCTCCCTCTGCCGGAGCCCAAGGTGAGTGGCTGTGGCTGTTTTAGCCTCTGTCCTGGCTCTGCGCTGTGGAGCCGCCTGGGAGTGTAACCCAAGGGCGCTGCTCCCAGCTAAGGCCGCTGTGGAGCTGCCGACCGCGGGCTCCCAGCCCCGTCTCCTGCCTTCGCAAGCCTACCGGGATGGAGTCAGTGTCCCTCGTTATATGGTCCTCGCAAGCTGCTTTTCTGTTGCTTTTTCCCATCGATTTGTCTGTGTTATAGTTATAATTCCAGTTTGGTTCTGGGAGACGGTCTGTGTAGCTTCCGTTCACCTACAGGTGTAATTTTTGTATATCCTTTCAGATGTTTTTTTTTTCTTTTTAAATTGATTTTAGAGAGAGAGGAATGGAGGGGGAGAGAGAGGAAGACATCGATTTGTTGTTTCACTTATTTACAAATTCATTAGTCACTTTCTGTATGTCCCCTGACTGGGGATAGAACCTGAAACTTTGACGAATGGGCACAACACCCTAACCAACTGAGCTACCTGGCCAGGGCCCAGATCTTTTTGTAGACATACATAAGTGTCTGTTTGTCTGTGTATCTAAATTATATATATTTTCAAATGGCATTTTTACTTTTCAACATTGAATCTTATTTAGGGGAAGAATGTTGATAATTAAATGACATGACAGTGTCTAAAGAAAAGTGTATTGCATATCTTCAAATTCTCTGCTTTAACTTTTTAGATCATCACAGAATATGGTGAGCAGGTATTAGAAGAAACCAGAAAATCTAAACATAGTACACCAAGAAAAAAGGGTAAGAATTTTGGAAAGCTTATTTTTTTAAGTGTTCTTTCTAAATGTAGTGTAACAAAAAAAGATAATTTAATTTTCAAGTTATTAGAAACGTTTTTCAGAGATACTCTTTAGATCAAAATATTCTTTCTATTACTTAAGACATAATTCTGTACTGGATCTTATATATTTAGTATGCCAGGGATCAGAAAGCTTAGTTTGGAGATTTTAGTGATGCAAAGATTGTTCTCTGTATAATCATTAGTACCACATTTAGTCTGGTTTGTTATGGGTAAGGTAGAAAGCTTCTGTGGGATAGCCTAAGAATTTAACCATGAAAATATAATGTTAATGGTATCAGAAACTGTATCCCCAAGTTCCCAAAGAACCAGTTAGTAAACAAAGAAGCCTCTATAGCCCAACCTGTGTGGCTCAGTGGATTGAACGTCATCCCATGGACTGAGAGGTCCCAGTTTAATTCCTGGTCAGGGCACATGCCCAGGTTGTGTGCTCGATCCCCAGTAGGGGGCATGCAGGAGGCAGCCGATTGATGTTTCTATTTCTCTCTCTCTTCCTCTCTCTCTAAGAAATCAATAAAAACATTATTTTAAAAATCTTTAAAAAAGAAAATGAAAATAAAAACAAGCCTTTACAAAGGTTGGAACTGTTAACATAATAGCTGCTGAATATTTTCATACATCTATAGTAAATCCTGAGAAAATTTTAAATGTAATTTATTGTCCCTTTGGAAATTGTCATCTCTTAATTTTTTCAAAGCTGTTTTTTTTCTCTTGTCATTAGTGACTCAGATCTTCAAAGATAACAGATCTGACTAGAATGAGAGAGGAGTTAAGACATGTAGTTCATCCACTCTAGGATGTGCTGCAAAGCCACTGCTGTTCGTGCCCCTTATCTTAGTGTCAGATGCTAAAAAGGAAACACTTTGGAAACTACTGTTCTCTTAAAGTTAAATTTTAAATGTTATTTTTATAAGACTATAAACCCTTCTAGCAACGTAAACCCTTCCGCTTTATAATTCAGCCTTTTCTCCATCACTTATGCGGTAGCCAGTTGGCTGCAGCAGTCTGTCTCGGTGTTAATTTTACTGAGGTGCTGTTTTATAACTTTTGTTCACATCCCAGGATAGGAGGAAATTAGTTTTAAAATGCTGGGCAACAACCACAACAAAAGCAGTCTAAGAAAAGTTTCTGGATAATTTGGAAACATATAGTTTCACAATTTCTAAAAAGAGAGAAATAAGCCAGCAGAGGTGCCACCATGTCAGGGCCATATGTCTGGTGGCATCTCCCATCTTCTGTAGCCAGACCAGAACAGGGAAAGCTATGTCAGGGCAGGGACTGTGTCTCATTTGCTCACTGTTGTGTCCTCAGTGCCTGTCATTATTAGATGTTCAATGGAAGTTACTGAAGTGTTGAATGCATGAGGAACATGGCCACAGGCCTCTGCCAGAGGAAATCCAGGAAGGAGCTGTCCTTAAAAATGGACCAGTTGCCAGTGCTCTCTCCCTGCTGCTGGTCCCTTGAGGGACACCTGTTTCACCTGCTATCACAACTGTCAGCAGAAGCACAGACTTGATGGCTAGCTTGGGCTGAAGGTGATAATGACCTTCTGAGTATGCAGAGTATGTTACCTCCTAGAGCCTAAATGGGTTGGCATAAGTAAATAGAGATGTCAACTTTCAGATGTTAACTTTAGAAATAAAACAGTGAAAAACAGGTGAGCTGTATTACTAGATGGCTAAAGCTTGATAATCACCAGTCTGCCTACTGCTTTGGTTCTTTGACTTTAAAAACTTTGTTCTTCAGGCTTTATGCACATCACTTAGAAGCTATTAATGTGAGCCTTTACACCCTTTCTCTTTTTCTTTTTTCTCTTTAAGCAGACTCCAGCAGAATCAGGATTGCTTTGGAGAAAGAAGCAAGCACAGTAGTAAGTGTTTTAAAATTAAATTTATAAAAGAGTCATTTGCTGGATACCTGGTACCATCTGGTGTTGTGGGATATTTGGAAGACTGTGACCTGGACCCTCCAGTTTAATAGTTTGCAATCTTTTGGCACGTGAAGTGATTGATAGCTATTGCCCTGTATTGCCTGCTGAGACACTTTAGATCACCATTTATTTTGTTTGCTTTTTCATTTTTAATTATTGATGACAAGTGGTTTCAATATAGATGTGAGATAACTTTGTCCAACTTTCAGTCATGAAAATCTTGTTTTAGCCTGGCTCTTGGTTTGTTTTTATTGTGGTAAAATATATATAACATAAAATTTACCATTTTATCCACTTTCACGAATACAATTCAGTGGCATTAATTACATTCACAGAATTGTGTAACCATCACCATTATGTTTCCAATACTTTTTCATCATTCCAGACAGAAACTCTGTACCCATTAAATAATAACTCCCCCTTCCTTCCTCACCCCCAGACCCACCCTAGTCCCTGGGAGTCTCTATTTTACTTTCTGTCTCTATGACGTAATTTGCCTATTCTAGATATTTCATGTACATGGAATCATACAATATTTGTTCTTTTATGTCTGGCTTCTTCTACTTAGCATAATATTGTAAAGTTTCATCCATGCTATATCATGTATCAGAATTTCTTTCTTTTTTAGATCACTATTTTGATATTGACATTTTTCTGTTCAAAAGCTTTTAGTACCTCCCCATTATCCCATGAAGCAAGTTGACATTTTTTAGCCTGGCAGTCAGGGTCCCGTTTGTCTTGTTAGCCCTAGGCAGCTTCACACTAAAGCTGCAATAAAGTCGTGCACAGTAACAGCCCTCTCAGTGAATCATGTCCCACTGATGATTTTTTGCTTTCTTTAGCATTTTAATCAATCCCTTAACTCAAAAAGGGAAAAATGTACTAACAACAAATTATTCTATTTATGGAATATGCCAGTAATTAAACTTGTACATTTTTTAATGAAACTTAGATTGTAAATAATAACAACATCCCACCATTATGTTGCTACAAATGGAATAAATCCTGCCTCTGTACTCTTTTGTTCCTTTGCATGGTAATACTATTTTTTCCAGCTTTGTTGAAGCATAATTTACATGCAATAACATTTACTTATTTTTTGCATACAATGTCATGAACTTTGATAATTTTGTACAGTCATATAAGAACCACCCACAATCAAGGTAAAGAAATCACTGTCGCCCAGTTGGTGTGGCTCAGTGATTGATCATAGACCCATGTACCAAGAGTTCGCCAGTTTAATTCCTGGTCAAGGCACATGCCCAGGTTGTGGGCCAAATCCCCAGTATGGGGCATGCAGGAGGCGGCCAATCGATGTTCTCTCTCATCAGTGTTTCTGTCTCTCTTTCTCCCTCTCCCTTCCTCTCTGTAAACTCAATAAAGAAAAAAAAAAAATTATAAAAAGAAAAGAAATCCCATGTCCCTAGAAAGTTTTCTTGGGGCCCTTTGTAGATGACCCTGGCTCTCATCCCAGGCAGCCACCACTGTGATTTTAATACCACCTAGAGTAGGTATAAGTCAGGGTGTTTTCACAAAATGAAAAGGGTATAATATGTAAGCATAATGGAGAAAGAGCCATAAAGTAAGTCAAGTAACAGAAGAATTGAGGGATAAAGACAGTCCTGGGCAGGCCCACAAGGTGTGATGGGCGTGTAGGCAGAGCTGAGTGGCGCTGGGCCAGGAGTGGTGTTGGATGCAGCTGTATGTTTGGGAGTGACTCTCAGTAGAGATGGAAGGTGGGTATCCTCATCCAAGGATATTTTTTCCATTGATGTTTAGAGAGAGTAGAAGTGAGGAGGAGAGAGAAACATCTATGTGAGAGAGACACATCTTGATTGGTTGCCTCCTGGGGATCAAACCTGTGACCCAGATACATGCCCTTGACCAGGAATCAAACCTGCCACCATTCAGTACATAGCAGTTCTGTAACCACTGAGCAACACTGACCAGGGGCCCTAGCAGCTTTTACAAACTGCTCATTGCAACCACCTTGCCAATGTTTTGACATCCTTCTATGGGAGGGACCTTTGAAGTCATACCCCCTGGATGTGTGGGGAGAGAAGTTTGAGAACCACTGTACAAAAAAAATGAAAACAAAGTGCCAGCTACAGCCTACTGTTTAATTTATTGACTCATTCAACAAATCATTGAAGACCTATGTGTTGGAGACTGTCAAGGCACTGGATATATATTCCTTCTCAAAATACATGCAGATTTAAAGACTAGATAGTACGTTGCTATACTTCATGAAATCAAAAGCTTAGATAATTTGGAAAAATACTGAATTAAGTGGGAACATTTTAGCCATATATAGCAACTTTATAAAATATCTCATTTTGATATTTCCAGTATTAAAAGCCCAATATAGCAAACCATATTAAAATTTTTTATTATTTCCTCTGCGAAGACCTTTCAAGCCCTGGCCAGAGTGGCTCAGTTGGTTGAGCATCATCCTGTGCACCAAAAGGTCACTAGTTCAATTCCTGATCAGGTTGGGTGCTGTACAGGCGGCAACCAATCAATGCTTCTCTCATATTGATGTCTCACTTTCTTCCTCTTTCCTTTCCTCTCTCTAAAAAATCAATAAAACATTTTATTTTATATTTTAAACACTCACCTGAGGACACTTTTTTCATTTATCTTCAGATAGAGTGGGAGGGAGAGAGAAACATTGATGTGAGAGAAACACATCAACTGGTTGCCTCCCTTACCACTCGACCAGGGTCAGGGACCAAACCGTAACTGAGGTACGTGCCCTTGATCAGATTCAAACCTGCAACTCTTTGGTTCGTGGGCTGACGCTCTAGACGCTGAGCCAAACCGACCAGGGCAATAAAAACATGTTTAAAAAAGACTTAAAAAAAAACAACAATTCTCAAATACCTATCATTTTGTGTGCATGTGTGTATACCTCTTCATATTTGCATTGAATGATATTTATAACTAGTAATGTCTGACTTAATATACATATATGAATGTATTATTTTTAATATGCATATGTATGATGTATATGGATATTAATATACACTTATGTGTAGGGTTCTATAATTATTACTGTCTTTAATTTATTCATCTTTATTTAAAATTAAAATAGATGACTTTGTATAGTTGTTTACCTTTTTATAGCAATTCAAGCATTGTTTAATCTGTATTTTTAATCTCTTTTAAAGCAAAGGGAAGAACAAGGTAGAAAGTGCAGCCACCCTGATTTAGAAAGAATTAATGAAAATTCAGTTGCAAGTGCATTGAGGAGAATAAACAGAGAAGAGAAAGGTACATTCTTCGGATTCTTACCACTGTGTAAAGGAGGGGCTGGGAAGTGGAGGAGGAGTGCCCATTGTTGCCTTCCTAGATCAGAGGTGTCATAAACATGTGGACACATGCAGATTTTTGTTTGCTTATCCAGTAATTTATTTCAGAAATGTCTTATCCATAAAAAAAGAGAGAATAGTGTTTATTAATAAATAAATTATTAGCCTTTAGAAAAACTAATATTTGTTATGCTCTCCACCATGAAAAGCATGACATTCAGTGTGTATCTGTCTTCTCAAGGCTTCATTCTTGTACAGCGTGTATTATGTAAATATATACTTTATTTTAATCCTTACCCGAAGATATTTTTTCTATTTATCTTCAGATAGAGTGGGAGAGAGAGAGACATGTCGACTGGTTGTCTCCCGCACAACCCGACCAGGGCCAGGGACAAACCACAACCAAGGTACATACCCTTCACCAGGATCGAACCCGTGACTCATTGGTCTGCAGGCTGATGCTCCAACCGCAGAGCCAAACCAGCCAGGGCTGTGCATATTGTTTTTTAAAAATGTACCTTAATGGCCCTGGCTGGTTTGGCTCAGCGGTTAGAGCATCGGCCTGTGGTCCAGAGACACCCGGGTTTGGTTCCCGCTAAGGGCATGTACCTCGGTTGCAGTTTGTCCCCGACCCTGGATGGTCGTGTGGGTGGCGACCACTCGATGTGTCCCTTTCACGTCGATGTTTCTCTCTCTCTCTCTCTCTCTCTCTCTCTCTCTCTCTCTCCCCCCCCTTCCCCTCTATCTGAACAAAAAATGGAAAAATGTCCTCAGGTGAGGATAAAAATGAATGAATGAATGAACGAATGAACCTTAATGATTTGTTTTACTTTTTCATCTGGATTTGTTTTTTCACTTCCTTTACTACTTAGACTTGAAGAACATGTTAGAGTTTGAAAGAGAAAAGAAATATTTGTTGTTAGAGAAATACATGTCTGGATATAGATAAATAAATGAAAAGAATGTGCTCAGCAGTTCTTTTTTACATTTGAAAACCAGTTGGTGAGTCAGTCCACCCAAGGAGAGCCAGCCCGCCGAGTGCTGTCCGGCGACAGTGGGAGAAGGGTGCACCCACCGCAGCGCTTGCGGCCCTGGAGGACACAGCCCTGCTCACCTCCAGCTCATCCGCAGAGGAAGGCAGAGGTCGGTAGTCAGGCTGAGTATTACTGTTGTGGGACATTTTCTAAATAGTTGTTTCATGGGCTATAGATTTTTTTAAATGACACTCTGTGAAGGATATTAGGTGTCACACAGGTGAATGAAATAGATTTTAGTAGAGAGTAAAATATAATTAATTTTTCTTGAAATATGATCTGGAAGATAATGTGCTGAAAATATTTTTTATTTGGCCCTATTTTTTATCTTTTCACAATTGGTGGTTCTGTAATACAGTACAGTGGAAATAATACTCGTAAGCAGTGGCTCAAAGAGACGCCTGAAACCTTGTTGAACATCCTTAAGAATGCTGATCTCAGCTTGGCATTTCAAACATACACAATATATAGACCAGGTGATTTATGTTTGTTACGTAACCATTGAACCCCCCCCTTTTTTTTAATTGAGGTAAAATATACATAACGTACAATTCTGAACAGTTTTAAGTGTACAGTTCAGGGGCCTCAAGCTCATTCACACTGTCGAGCAGCCGTCGCCACCATTGTCTCCAGAACTGTCCCATCTTCCAAAACAGACTCTGTGCCCTTTAAACAGTAACTCCCCATTTTCACCTCCCAGAAACCCTTTGATTTTCAAGCTATAAAATAACTCATAGCATTTTATTTATAGGTTTTCTTGACTTTTCTAGATAGTCTTAAGCTATAATGAAAATTTCCCATAGAATTACAGTACTCCTATTTGCTCATTTGTTTGCTTATTTTAATAATCATGTGATTAGCCTGGCCAGTGTGCTCAGTGGATTGAGCATCCGATGGACTGAGAGGTCCCAGTTTGATTCCTGGTCAGGGCACATGCCCAGGTTTCGAGCTCAATAACCAGTAGGGGGTGTGCAGGAGGCAGCTGATCAATATTTCTCTCTCTCTCTCTAAAAAAACTCAATAAAAACATAAGAAAAAAAAAATAATCATGACTTCTTTCTTTGCAGAGTAGCTTGTTTTTTTTTTTGTTTTTTTTTTAATTTATGCAGGTATACTGGTGACTTTACAGTCCAGACTTGGTAACAGTGAAACTGTAATCTGACTATCCAAAGATAACTTTTAATGCTTTAATATAAATTTTTGTATATGAGAGTTTTAACTGTATTCTGAACTTTTCTTTTGGAGAGAGTAGTATTTTTTTTTTTTAATCCTTACCTGAGGATATTTTTCCATTTATCTTCAGATAGAGTGAGTGGGAGGGAGAGAGAGAGAGAGAGAGAAATCGATGTGAGAGAGGCGCATCCACTGGTTGCCTCCTGCACGATCCCGACCAGGGCCAGGGACTAACTACAACTGAGGTACGTGCCCTCGACCAGAATCAAACCTGTGACTCTTTGGTCCAAGTGCTGACACTCCAACAACCAAGCCAAACCAGCCAGGACAGAAGAAAGTAGTATTAAAAATTTTTTTTTATTTATAGATTTGAGAGAGAGAGTGTGAAACATCCATTTGCTGGTTTATTCATTCATTGGTTGATTCTTGTATATACCCTAAGGATCAAACCTGCAACCTTGGTGTGTTGGGATGATGCTCTAATCAACTGAACTACCCGGCCAGGGCCAAGAAAGTAGTATTTTTTTTGTTGTAGTTGTTAATCTTCAACCAAGGATATTTTTTTCATTGTTTTTTTTTAGAGGGAGCAGAAGGGAGGGAGGGATGTGGAGAGAGAGAGAAAGACTGAGAAACATCGATGTGAGAGAGACACACTGATTGGTTAACTCCCACTCATGCCTCAGCCAGGGCCAGGGATGGAACCTGCAACTCAGTTACATGCCCTTGATCGGGAATCAAACTATGACCCTTCAGTGTGAGGGCTGATGCTCTAACCACTGAACCACACCAAGCAGGGCAAGAAAGTAGTAGTTTTTTTTTTTAATCCTCACTCGAAGATATTTTTCTATTTATCATTAAATAGAGTTGGAGGGAGGGAGGGAGAGAGAGAAACATCGATGTGAGGGAGACATATTGACTGGTTGCCTCCTGCACGACCTGACCAGGCTGGGGACAAACCGCAACCAAGGAATGTGCCCTTGACCAAAATCGAACCCACAACTCATTTTTCTGCAGGCCGACTCTCTGACCGCTGAACCAAACAGGCCAGGGCAAGAAAGTAATGTATTTAAATTTAATATACATACTGATGCTTACTGGGCCTATTTTATGCCAGAAATCAGGTGGGTAATGTGGGGATGCACTGCAGAAGACATAGAACAGGGTGTCGTCCTCAATTAGCCAACAAGCTTTTGGAGGATTTTAGTTCAACATGCAGGAAATGAATGCCGTTTAAATTCACATGATTTCTGTTAATATTCCTCTGAAGGTTCAGAAGGGTTCTTGAAAGGTCCCTTGTCTGAAGAAACAGAAACATCAGACAGTGTTGACGGAGGTTACGATGCTGTCATTTTGGATCCAGAGAGAATCGAACCTAGACTGGATGAGGAAGACACGTACGTTATGATATACCTAGAAAGCTTTAGTGTGTGTGTGTTTGTGTGTGTGTCTTAAATTATACCTTAATAATGTCAGGTTTAATAGGAGGTTTACATCATAAATGAACATAATTTGATCTTTTGTCTAAGATAGGTAATGTGTGATGGCAATTACTGAATTCCTGGCTGAGCCATGTGTTTAAAGTTGTTCAGCTTGGACTTATTTTTTACTATATTACATGTTTATTGAAAATATTACAGAAAGAGTGAAAAAGGTGTTCTTTTGGAAGAACTAACAATTTTTTTCTCTCTTCAGGAGCTGGTTTTTTAAAAATGTAAATATTGTTATGGTGTTCTGTTTTGAACCCATCAACAAATACCATACTTCTAATTTGGAGGCTTAATATTCATCTCATTTTCTCACAGGGACTTTGAGGAAGACGACAACTACGACTGGGTGTCAGAACTGAAGCAGAGAGCTGGCTGGCAGGGAAGCGTCTGACGGCTGATGCCCAAGGAAACGTTCCTTAGTCACACTGAGTAGTTGTTTAAAGTGAGGAATTTATGTTTGAATAGTATTAGCTAACAGAATGTATATTTTCCCTTGGAAACAGAAGGGGTGGACTTTGAATATTTAAAATTGTTCCTGATTAGTTTAAAAAATCTACAACTCTTGTGAGTTTTTGAACTCAAAGGAGAAGTAAACTTTGGGCCCTGCAGTCAAAGAGAACAGAAATTAGATGCTCATTGTGTGTGATTGTGGGAAATTACTTTAAACTCTTTGGGTCCGAATTTCCTCAACTGTAACCTGAGGATAATAATATCTATCTCACTGGGATGCTGACTGGGGAGCATGAGAACAGCCCCTAATATTATTTGCATTGTCATGATTTCTTTTTATTACTATGTAACCCTTTTTACATTTCCTAAAGATTTGAGAATCTAAATATATTTAATTATAACATAATAATGTGTGCAGTTTTTCAATAAGACCTATCTCTGGGTAGTGATCAATGATCTTCAGTGATCTTTACTGACTACCAGGTGTCCTTAAATACAGCCCCTCACAGAATACACAGAAGGGCCCAGGTCAGAGGACCCACCCTGGGAAGAGTGGGATAGGCTGCATATCTTCTCAGAAGTCAGCCCTGTACACGAGAAAGGAATAGAGCCAACAGTAAGGAATCAGTATGGAAAGTATCAGAAATTAGAATGCAATGAAACTAATATAGATGATAGTATCCCACCATATATGGTCACCATGACACACTGTGCTGGATCCTGTCATTAAATTCGTGCTCTGTTAGTGAGGTGAGAATATTTACTAAAGAATAAACAACCTCCTCCCAGGGGATCCCACAGGGGCAAGTGTGGGAATAGCATAAACCTGACCTGATGTAGGGAACAATCCTCAGTGAAGAATAGGAGGAAAACAGTTGTGAAAATACAGTAGGATCATTAATAAGGATCTGCTGAAATACGGAATACAAAGAGCTTCTAAAGATGTAAACATTTTGCTCTGGCCAGTGTCACTCAGTGTTGTCCTATGCACTGAGAGGTCGCAGGTTTGATTCCCAGTCAGAGCACATGCCCGGGTTGTGGACTAGATCCCCAGTAGGGAGCGTGCAGGAAGTTGCCTATCAGTGTTTCTCTCTCCTTGATGTTTCTATCTCCCTCTCCCTTCCTCTCTCTCAAATCAATAAAACATTTTTTAAAAGATTTGAACTTTTTTTATTCTTTTTGTTTGTTTGTTTATCCTCACCTGAGGGTATTTTTCCATTTATCTTCAGATAGAGTGGGAGAGGGAGAGAGAGAAACATCGAAGTGAGAGAAACACATTGATTGGTTGGCTCCTGCACAACCCAACCAGGGCTGGGGACCTAATCTCAACTGAGGTACGTGCCCTTGAGCAGAATTGAACCTGCGACTCTTCAGTCCAAGGGCGGACGCTCTAACTGTTGAACCAAACCGACCAGGGCTAAACATATTTTATCTTAATGTACAAAAACTACTACAGACCTTCACACACACACCCCTCCCCAGTTTATATAAACATTTAGTCAGCCTTAGTCTCCTCTGCTCTCTGACTGTCTCTGTCTTTCCTTATTTTTCAGGACCTTGAGATTTTTGAGGAGTACTGGTTAGGTATTTTGTAGAATGTTCCTCAATTTGAGTTTGTCTGATGTTTTTCTCATAATGAGACTGAGCTTAAGGGTTTGGGGGAAGAATACCAAAGTGAATTGCTCTTCCCATCACATCATATCAGGGAGAATGTGGTAACATGACTTGTTACTAATTTTCCATTTCCATTATCTGTTCACTCTAAGCCAACCACTACATCTAGCCGGTACTCAAGTGGCGGGAAATTAAGCTCCACCTCCTGAATGGGGGGCAGGGTGTGATCCAATACTAAGTCATTCTGCTGCTTAAATTGTTCTAGCTTTGGCCATTGGGAGTTGTTTCAGGTTGACTCCTTTGTCCCTTGGAGATGCCCTCATCTTTTTATGTTTTGAGCACCTCCTTGCTTTCTGGCACTATAAGAAGATGGTCTGGACTTATCTTTTATCTTCTCTACACCAGCCCCAGAATCAGCCATTTCTTCAACGAGTCCTCGTTTCTTTCATTGTTTAGAAACCAATATCTGAGTGCTGGGTGTGCTTGTTGCTACAGGGGTGTCATTGCTTCTAGGCCCTCAGCAGAAAGAGCCAGGAAATTATATATATATATTATCATGTGTATATATACTCACATCTCTCTAGTCATTTCTTTATCTGTATGCATATTAAGCTAAGCATCAGTTTATACTGATGTGTTGACTCTAATCCTGTACCACAGGGTTCATTCTAGCCTTCCCCCCTTGCTTTTCTGTAACTTCTGCGTTTGACAGCAAGAAACCTGGCGTGTACCATCCAGCATCCACTTAGTTGTTCAACATCAGTATACATGTAAAGCAGTTTCCAAATTAACTCACACCCCTGTGAGAAACAAATTTACCAACTAAAATAGATTTTATGTATCGTTCTTTAACCTTACCATTCCAGTCAAAACATCATTTCTCAAAGTTACTTAGGCTAGCTCTTCCTTTTTTTCACCATTCCTAAAGGCTTCAAGAATAAGGTAGGCAGGGATAGTTTTAAGGATATTGCAGATACTCAGCTTCCATAAGTACTATATCTATACCTCTTAGTCATCTTAAATCTTATTGTAAACATTTCCAAACCATCAAACAAAGGGAACTTGGAATTATGTATAGTTATTGAGAGACTGAATGTGTCTTGATTGAATGACAAATCCTTTTGAAATCAGATGGCTTGCAGGGTTTTACTTTTTTAAAAAATATATTTTACTGATTTTAGAGAGAGAGGAAGAGAAAGAGAGAGAGAAACATCAGTGTGAGAGAGAGACATCAATGATATTGGCTGCCTCCTGCACACCCCCTACTGGAGATGGAGCCTGCAGCCCAGGCATGTGCCCTGACTGGGAATTGAACGGGGACCTCTCAGTTCGTTCAAGCACTGAGCCACATGGGCTGGGTCAGGGTTTTGCTTTTAATAAAATTTCAAGCCCTGGCCGGTTTGGCTCAGCGGTTAGAGCGTCGGCCCTCAGAATAGAGAGTCCCAGGTTTGGTTCCCGCTAAGGGCATGTACCTCGGTTGCAGTTTGTCCCCGCCCCAGTGGGGGTCATGTGGGTGGCAGCCAGTCGATGTGTCTCTCTCACATCGATGTTTCTCTCTCCCTCCCTCTCTCCCTTGCTCTCTATCTGAAGATGAATGCAAAAACGTCCTCGGGTGAGGATAAAATAAAGTAAAATTTCAAGAGACTCAATGGTTATAAACCATTTTTAGTGATAGATTACTATATGAGTCATGATATACAAGTAGGCAAGAATTGAGGGACTCTTTTAACAAAACTTCCAATTTCATTTACTTATATGAATGCTGTTTCTCAGCACTTACAGCTTTAAAGAGAGAAAAACAAGAGAATATTAAATCTTGTCTATTCCAGCAAAAAGTTAGCATTCTTCTATAGATACTAACTGAACTAATTGGGAGGGAGGAAGAAGAAAGCCCATTCAGGTCTTTAAGAGATGACTTTCTGATACAATTTTACTTTTTATAATTAATTAGTATTTATCAATGTAATTTATTTTATTTTGATCAATTGTGTACTACTAGTAATTTTAACCCAATAAAAAGCCTATGATCCAGGGGAAAATTAATTTCCATTTTCATAAGCCAGATGTATAGATATGCTTGTCCTGCTTCTTTAATAAATGAGCATGCTTTAATTTTTTAATAAATTCACTTTATCACAATGCAATCAAGACCTCTCATATAAATTTATATAAGACAAGAATCAAGGTTGGGGACAGCCTGCTCCCTCTAATTCAAGTGGCTGTCTAATAACACCTCTCTATACAAATTCAATATAGTATTCAAAAGTTCTATAAAAATGAACAAAAAATACATCTTTACTTCAATTGTTCCAATAGTCAAATGTTAGATCTGCATGAGAGTTGCACTGTAGCAGTTTGCTGGTCCAATTTAAGAGTTCAAAGTCCTCTGTGTATTTGGCCCAATTATGTTTGTATCCTAGATAAATTCAATTTTTTTAAAAAAAGGAAATTAGCCCTGGCCAGTGCGCCTCAGTTGGTTAAGCATTGTCTCGTACACCAAAAGGTCACTGGTTGGATTCCTGGTCAGGGCACATGCCCATGTTGGAGGTTTGATCCCTGGTCAGAGTATGTACTCGAGGAAACCGATTGATGTTTCTCTCTCACATCAATGTTTTTTTCTTTATTGATTTTTAGAGAGAGAGGAAAAGGGAGGGAGAGACAGAGAGAAACATTGATGAGAGAGAACACTGGCCGCCTCCTGCATGCCCCCCACTGGGGATTTGGCCCACAGCCTGGGCATGTGCCCTGACCAGGAATCGAATCAGCGACCTCTTGGTGCATGGGTCGTTGCTCAGTTACTGAGTCACACCTGCCAGGTGCCTTCTCCCTCTCTCTCTCTCTCTCTCTCTCTCTCTCTCCCCCCACCCTTCCTCTCTCTCTAAAAAAACAAAAAACAAAAAAACACATATTTTTAAGGAAACAGAAATTAAAGCAGAGACTCCATATAACAGCAGAAGGATATGTGCTACCAGAAGTTGTCCCTCCATGGCTAATGCAGAAATAAAAATTTGGAACCAAAAAAACAACACCATCCACTAATTTCAGCGGTGAGAATGATTCCTACCATTCCTTGCAAAAACAGTATCACCACAAAGCTGAAAAGTTGGATCATGAGGAGAAGACAGTATCTAAGAACACTGCCCCACAACCAAATGAAACACCTGTCATACTTATTAAGTTTAATAAACATAAACAAAATATGCCTAGACATCCAATTGCGCTGATGCCATATACACAGCCAAGTGTCCATCTCTTAGTATTTGAGACCCTGCACAAGAAACTTAACAGTCTCAGTTTAGCTCATTTGTAGAACTGGGAGTCTACTACCTTGCTGGATTGTTGCAAATGAGATAATATATGCAAAGCTGCTGGTACGCCACAAACAACGGGAGCGGTGAGCTTGCTGAGTTAGCAAAGGAGTTCCGACCCAAGGCAACGGGAGGTGACACCGCCGGGTCTCCAAACGCCCTGGCCTCTGACCCCTCTCCCGGTGCCGGTGCCGGGTGTGGACCGGTCCTCTCCCGGCTCGGGTCCCGCGCCCCGCCCAGGTTCCCCCGCACGGCTCCGCCCTGGCGGCCTGGAGGCGAGGCGGCTGCGGGACGCAGGTGCACCGGGAGGCTTCTCTCGCCCGTGGAGCCGTTGGAGCAGGTATGCAGCGGGTGGACCACCCTTGCTCTTTTCCCAAGCTGCTCCCTAGGGCTCTGGGATCCCCAGGGTAAAGGACGGAGCCCACACCCCGGGAGACCCAGGCGGCAGAGGAACAGTCTCCTGTGCGTCTGTCTCCATGGCAGTGCGCAGCCTACGCACTTCCTTTCCGAGTGTTTCTAAGGGAGAACAATTCTGCCCCAAATCTGGAACTTTCACTCCCCGGTTCCACCTTGGGAGGGTCGGGGTCCGTTAGTTCCCGCGTGCTGCCCTTGAGTTTCGATCCCCTATCTGCTTCCCTCAAAACTGGGGTGTCCGCAGCCTCCTTTGGGTGCAGAGCTGGTGCACAGTCCATCCCATCCAATCTACGCCCTTCCTACTCTGATACAAATTACTCAGAAACTAACTAACCTGGTTGGTGTGGTTGGGCGTCCTCCCCTACACCAAAAGGTGGAGGGTTTGATTCCTGGTCAGGGCACACATCCAGGTTTCGGGTTGGATCCCAGGTTGGGATGCTTGCGGGAGACAGCCAGCCCCCCACCCTCTCGTCCCCCTCTCTTTCCCCTCCTCTCAATCTCTAAAAACCAACTTTAAAATTTGTTAAAAAGAAAAAATAAAAACACAACCTGTCCACTCAGTCCATTAAAAGCCAGCCTTTTGCCCAGCGGTGTGGCTCAGTGGTTGAGCCTGGACCCATGCACCAAGAGGTGGACAGTTCCATTCCCAGTCAGGGCACATGCCCCGGTTCTGGGCCCAGTTCCCGGTCAGGGGCATGCAGGAGGCGGCCAATCGATCTTCTCTCTCATATTGATGTTTCTATCTCTTTCTCCCTCTCCCTCTTTCTAAAATCAATAAAGAAAACAAACAAATAAAAGCCAGCATTATGCCTTAACTGTTTTATGAAGGGGAGACAGTTTATAATAAAGTATTTCCATCTGTAGATGTTTGGTAGTGCTCCGAGTGCTGTGTAGCCAGGTGCCCACACCCTGCCAGGAGTCGCCCGACTGCCGGTTTCAGCTACCAGGAGAAGGTGGAGGCGTGACTTTCCAAAAATGGTGAACAGTTCTCGGTCAAGTTCCAAACAAAACAAAATTCAGACAAGCCTTATTTTACAGTTGTTGCATCCCTCGAAAATTGTTAATTAAAACTGTGTAAAAATTACTTTGAATTAAGATGTAAAATAGAGTTGGGTTCTAGCAGCAGATAAACGGATTTTTCCATGGACATGAATGTGTGGGAGACTCCAATGTTGTAGGGCCGTGCGACAATCCGTTATTGTGCCTACGGTCCCTTATATCCTGGAATCTTAGTATCCCACGCCTTAAGTGCTTCTAAATACCGAAGTGCCTCTCCGTCTCTGCCGAAAACAGGAAAAACAAAAAACCCCACAACTCTATAGAGTTCCGAAATGTCCCCTAGGGGGCAGTATTTTACCACTGAGAAAGGTTGGCTTGTAAAACTACACTGGCACAAGGACATTACTGCGTTATAGAGGTGTCAATGCCCGGGATCACAGCACTATAGTGTACCAGAGCAGAACTACAACCCAAGTGTGATCTCGGAGCCTATCCAGAAGAGTTATTTGACTCTGTCTTGATTGAGATCTGAAGGAAAGTTTTAGCAAAATGAGTTCTTTTAATCTTAGTGATCAATTTTCTAACTTTATTAACTTTTATGAAAAGTGTGCAATTAAATTTTATTTCTCTAATTTCAGGAACCTTTATGTTTTGGAAACCATGGATAAATATGATGTGATTAAGGCCATTGGGGAAGGTGCCTTTGGGAAAGCATACTTGGCCAAAGGAAAACTGGATAGCAAGCACTGTGTTATAAAAGAGATCAATTTTGCAAAGGTAAAATGAAGAAGTTCAAATTCTTATTCATATTCAGTGGTATATTCAGCTGGCTTTTAATCCAGTATGAAAAGGGAACACATTTTGTTTTGTATTGTTTTGTTTTGTTTTGACAAGTATGAATGAGTTGACTCTTGTTCACTCAGCCTCCTAAATCCATTTTCCAAACAGCAACCAATAATCTTATTTTAAGAAAAAGGAAAGAATAAAAAGAAAAGAATTCGTATCCCTCTGGCTCCTATGGCACTCCCTAGAGTGGCCTGCGAGGCCTGTGAGACCCTGCCCTCCTCTATGGCTGACTTTTCTGTTTTTCCCTAGGGTGGTGCACTTTTCTGACTGCCTTATCTTCCTCAGGTCACCTCCACAAGGACCTTCCCAAAACTGAACCTCAGTCACTCCTTATCACACCACCTGCTTTCTTTTCTTTCTTTTTTTTGTTGTTGAAGAGGTAGCCATATGATGTAGTCATATGTAGCCATGGAGTACTTGAAATATGGCTAATGCGACTGGGGAAGTGAATGAACATTTACTGGTTTATTTTCTTTTTCTAAATATGTTTTTATTGATTTTTTAAATTAAAAAAAATTTTAACTGGGAATAATAGTCACTGGCATTATTAGGAATTTTGTCAATCAACCTACCTCATGTATGTTGGATTTGACATCCATCTTTTATACTTACATTTTCTGGATTGATTTAGTAGAATTGGATATATAAAAGTGGGGTAATAAAACAGTAAAACAAACTCCATACCTCTACGGGTGTTAACAGTGGAGGGAGTTCTTCCCCCATGGGGGTCTGGCCAGTGCTCATTCTTTCCCATTTACTTTTTTTATTATTTTATTTATTTACTTATTTATTTATATTTTTTTATCCTCACCTGAGGATATTTTTCCATTGATTTTTAGAAAGAGTGGAAGGGAGGAAAGGGGAGAGAGAGAGAAACTGATGTGAGAGAGAGACATCGATTGGTTGCCTCCCGCACGACCCCTGCTGGGGTCAGGGATTGAACCTGCAACCCAGATACATGCCCTTGACTGGGAATTGAACCCACAACTCTTCAGTCCTCGATATGATGTTCTAACTGCTGAGCCAAACTGGCCAGGGCTATTTTTTTTTCCATTTAAAATTTATCTTTATTGTTGAAAGTATTACAGGTGTCCCTACTTTTTTCTCCTACTGACCCCCTTCTTTCTACTCCCCACCTCCGCCTTCACCGCACTATTATTTGTGTTCATTGGTTATGCATATATGCATATGTATCTCCCGACCCTTGCTCCCCTTGTGCTGGCATGTTTATAACCCCATAACTGATGATTGGTAAATTACTGTGCTGCTCCATAACTGATGATTGGGAAAGTCACTGTGTGCCCTCTAGCTGAACCTGTTTAGTCTAAATAACTTCAGTAAATTGGAATACTCCCTGAACCAATAAATTGTTGGGAGCCAGCTATGTGCCTGACAGTGCCTGACAGAGTCCACGGAGCCTGGAGGTCTTGAGTCAGAGACCCGACCTTTCCCACAATCTCAAGGAATCAGGCTTGCATTGTGTTTGTGCAGCTCGGGGCTAAGTGTGACCCAATGTACCTTGAAATACCTGAAATACCTAGGTGTGCCTGGGTGATCCTGTTATCCGCAAGGCAAACTAATTCTATACAGCATTGCTGTGGCCCTGGGCATTACATCAAGAAGATCCTATTTGCTGTAAGGTATAAAAGGCAGGTAATGAAGCGTGTCGGGGCTGATTCCGAAGACTCTGTCACAGGGGTGTTCGGAATCAGACGCGGGCCGGCTAATGAACGGCTTCTATTTGGACTTCAATTTCTGATGGTCTTTCTTTGACTCTGTCGCACCACAATATTTGGAGGCCCCAGGGCTGATCTCCAAGAACTCGGGTTGGCTTTGCTCTCTATTTGGCTTTACTTTGGCTCTGGTGGTCTCTTGGTTCTCTCGTGCCACAACACCTTTCTTCTGAGTTTCCTCAGTCTATTCCCTACTTCCATGTCTCTGGATCTATTTTGTTCGTAAGCTTATTTTCTTCATTAGAGTCTACATATAAGTGAGATCATGTGATATTTGTCTTTCTCTGACTGGCTTATTTCACTTGGAATAATATTTTCCATGTCCTTCTATGCTGTCTCAAGGGTAAGAGATCCTTCGTTTTTACAGTGGCTTAGTATTCCATTGTGTACATGTACCATAGCTTTTATATCTACTCATCTACTGATGGACACTTGGGCTGTTTCCAGATCTCAGCTATTGTACGTAGCTCTGCTATGAACATAGAGGTGCATGTATTCTTCTTGATTAGTGTTTCAGGCTTCTTAGGATATACTCCTAGAAGTGGAATCACTAGGTCAAATGGCAGTTCCATTATTAATTTTTTTGAGGAAACTCCATACTGTTTTCCATAGTGGCTGCACCAGTCTGCATTCCCACCAACAGTGTACTAGGGTACCCTTTTCTCCACATCCTGTCTAGCACTTGTTGTTTGATGATTTGTTGATGGCAGTCATTCTGGCAGGTGTAAGGTGAGACCTCATTGTTGTTTTAATTTGCATCTCTCTGATGATTAGTGATGTTGAGCATTTCTTCATATGTCTCTTGACTGTTGGTATGTCCTCTTTGGAGAATTGTCTATTCAGGTCCTCTGCCCCTTTTTTTTTGTTTTTTTGTTTTTCTTTTTTTTACCTAATATCTCTGCCCATTTTTAATTGGATTGTCTTCCTTTTTTTTTTTTTGCAATTTTTATTAATTTATTTTTGTTTCAGATGTTTCTCCTTTCCCCCCACCCTAGAAACCCTCTCCCGACCTTGTGCCCCCCCACCCCCCACAGCATTATTGTTATCTATGTCCACTGGTTACACATACATGCATATAAGGTCTTTGGTTTATCTCACCAAGATATTCTTTTTTATTATTATTAATTAATTAATTTATTTTTATTACAGTTATTTCTCCTTTTGCCCCCACTTATTCCCCCCTTCTCCTCCCTCCCTGCCCTGTCCCCAGCTTTGTTGTCCATGTCCATTGCTCATACATACATGCATATAAGTTCTGTGGTTTATCTCTCCCCCACTAACCTCTCTTCTGGGGATTGTCAGTCTGTACCCCGCTTCCTTGTCTCTGGGACTACACCATTCCTCAGACTGTTAATGTTCATTATATTCCACAAATAAGTGAAATCATATGATACTTGTCTTTCTCTGTATGGCTAGTTTCGCTTAGGATAATACTTTCCAGGTCCTTCCATGTCGTCTCAAAGGATAAGAGATCTTTCTTATCACTGCATAGTACCCAATTGTGTATATGTACCACTGCTTTTTCATGCATTCATCTACTGATGGACATTTGGGCTGTTTCCAGATCTTAGCTATTGTAAATGGGGCTGATATGAACATGGGGTACATATATTCTTTCTGAGTGGTGTTTCAGGCTTCTTAGGGTATATTCCTAGAAGTGGGATCACTGGGTCAAATGGAAGTTCAATTTTTAATTTTTTGAGGTAACACCATAGTGTTTTCCATAGTGGCTGCACCAGTCTACTTTCCCACCAACAGTGTACTAGAGTCCCCTTTTCACCATACCCTCGCCAACACTTGTTGGTTGATGATTTGTTGATGGTGGCCATTCTGACAGGTGTGAGGTGATACCTCATTGTTGTTTTAATTTGCATCTCTCTGATGATTAGTGATGTTGAGCATTTCTTCATATGTCTCTCAGCCATTTGTATGTCCTGTTTGGAGAGGTGTCTATTTAGTTCGTCTGCCCATTTTTTAATTGGGTTTTTTGTCTTCCTTTTGTTGAGTTGTATGAGCACTCTCTATATATTGGAAATTAACCCCTTATCTGATATATCATTGGCAATGATGCTCTCCCATACAGTGGGTTGCCTTTCCATTTTGATAATTGTATCTTTTGCTGTGCAGAAGCTTTTGAGTTTGATGTAGTCCCATGTGTTCATTTTCTCCTTTGTTTCTGTTGCCTTAGGTGATGTATCAGTAAAAATTCTGCTGCGTATGATGTCTGAAATTTTGTTGCCTACATTTTCTTCTAGGATTTTTATGGATTCTTGAGTCACATTTAAGTCTGTTATCCATTTTGAGTTTATTCTTGTGTATGGTGTAAGTTGATGGTCTAATTTCATTTTTTTTTTTTTTTTCATGTAGCTGTCCAATTTTCCCAACACCATTTATTAAAAAGGCTGTCTTTACTCCACTGTATGCTCTTGCCACCTTTGTCAAATATTAATTGAGAATATTGCCTTGGGTCCATTTCTGGGTTCTCTGTTCTGTTCCACTGGTCTATATGCCTGTTCTTGTGCCAGTACCAGTCTGTTTTGATTACAGTGGCTTTGTAGTATAACCTGAAATCTGGTAATGTGATCCCTCCAACTTTGTTCTTCTTTTTCAAGGTTGCTGTGGTTATTCAAGGTCTTTTTTGGTTCCATATAAACTTTTGAAATATTAGTTCTAGTTCTGTGAAGTATGCTGTTGATATTTTGATGGGGATTGCATTGAATCTATAGATTGCTTTGGGTAGTATGGACATTTTAATGATGTTGATTCTTCTAATCCATGAACTTCTTCTACTTTTTTATATCTTCCTCTATTTCTTTTTTCAATGACCTGTAGTTTTCTGCGAATAGGTCCTATATGTGCTTCTACTTTTTTATATCTTCCTCTATTTCTTTTTTCAATGACCTGTAGTTTTCTGCGAATAGGTCCTATATTTTTTGGTTAAGTTTATTCCTAGGTACCTTAATTTTTTTGCCGCGATGGTAAATGGGATTTTTTTTTTAGTTTTTCTTTCTGTGAGTTCATCATTGGTGTATAAGAATGCCATCGATTTCTTGACATTAATTTTGTATCCTGCTACTTTGCCAAATTCATTGATTAAGTCTAGTAAGTTTTTGATGGAGTCTTTGGTGTTTTCTATGTATAGTAGCGTGTCATTTGCGAATAATGACAGTGTCATTTCCTCCTTTCCAATGTGGATCC